CGACGACGACGGCGGCGACTGCGACGACGACGACGACGACGATGGACGACCGACGACAGACGAGCGATGACCGATGACGACCGACGACGGACGACCGACGACGACGACGCTGACAGACGACGACCGGCAACCTACTACTGACGACGACAACGATGACGACGACGTCGGCGGCGACCGCCACGACGACGGCACCGGCGACGACGACGGACGAACCGACGCCGACGACGACAGACAACGACGACCGCGACGACGAGAACGGATGGCGCCGACGACCACGACGGAGGACGACGACGACACCGACAACGACGACCGACGTCGGCGACGCCGATGAAGCTGACCGACGACAGACCACTGACGACGACGACAGCAACAACGACGACCGCGACGACGACGACGACAATTGCCACGACGACGCCGACGACCGCGATGTCGACGACGATGGACGACCGACGATCGACGACTGACGTCGGACGACGACCGACGACTACGACGACGACGGCGACGACGACGACGATGGAAGACGATGACGACGACGACCGACGACCGACGACGACCGACGACCGACGACGATGACAACGACGACCGACGACGGGCGACCGACGAAAGATGACGACGACGACGACCGACGACGACGACGACGACAACGGGTGACCGACGACGGACGACAACGACGACAACGACGACCGCGATGACCGCGTCGATGGACGACGACGACGACGATGACGACATCGACGATCGACGACAACCACCGCGACGACGGCGACGACGACACCGACGACCGACGACGACGACACCGACGACGACGACGACCGACGTCGATACCGCGATGACGAACGATCGATGACTGATTATGACGACGACCGACTTCGACGGCCGCGAGGACGACGCGTCGACGACCGCCGATCGACGACCGACAACGACGACAGCGATAACGCCGACGACCGACGACACCGACGACACCGACGACACCGACGACGACGGACGGCGACGACGACGTCGACGACGACGATGACGGCGGCGACCGGCGACCGACGGCCGACGACCGACGACGACCGACGACAACGGCCGCGACGACTAGGACAACGACGATGACCGCGACGACGACACGACGACGATGACGGACGACCGACGATTACGACGACAGACGACGACGGACGACCACACCGACGACCGACGACGACGCCCGCGACGACGACGATGACCGCGACGACAACGATGAGGCCGATCGCGACGACGACGACGACGACGACGACGACTGACGACCGTCGACCGACCACTGACGACGACCGACGACGCCCACTCCGACGAAGACAACGTTGACGACGATTACGACGGACGACGACGACGCAACGACGACGACGACGAGGCCGACGACGACGGACGGACGACGACGACACCGACGATACCGACGACCGATGGCGACGACGACCGCGATTGCGACGACGACGACTGACGACCGACGACCGACGACGACGACGACGACACCGACGACCGACGACGACCGACGACGACGGACGACCGACGACACGACGGCCGACGACCGCGACGACCGACGACGATGGCGACCGACGACGGTGACAACGACGACGACCGCGACGACGAGGACGACGGCGACGACAACGACTGATGACCGACGACCGATGGCCGACGATTAAGACGACGACGGACGACGACGACGAGGCGGCAATGACGACGACGACGACGGACGACGACGACCGATGACGATACCGACGACCGACGACGACGACCGCTACGACAACGACCGACGACCGACGACCGACGTTGACGGACGACCAACGACACGACGACCGATGACCGTGACGACGATGACGACGGCGAGACCGACGACGACCGACGACGACCGCGACGAAGATGACGACGACGACGACGACAACGACCGCGACGACGAGGACGACGGATGACCAACGACCGACGACAACAACCGACAATTTCGACGACCGCGACGATCGACGACGACCTACGACGACGCACAACCGACGACACGACGACTGGTGACCGCGACGACGACGACGAGACGGACGATGGACGACGAAGACGACCGCGACGTCGACGACGACAACGACGACGACCGCGACTGCGACGACGACGACAACGACGACGACTACGACGACGACGGCCGCGACGACGACGCAACGGCGACGACGCCGAGGACGACGACGACGACGACGACGTCGTCGGCGACGACGACGACGACGACGACGACATCGACGACACCGACGACCGACGACCGACGACGACGCTCGCGACGACGCCGACGACGACGACCAACGAAAGACGATCGACGACGACGACGACTGCGACGACCGACCACGACCGTCGACGACGGACGACCGACGACACGACGACCGACGACCGACGACGACAACACTGACAATGACGACGAGACCGACGACTGATGAGGACCATGACGACGACGATAACAACGACGAGGATGACGACGACGAGGAAGAGGACGACCGATTCCCGACGACCGACGAACGACTTGCGACGACGATCGCGACGACGACGGACGTAAAAGACGACGACGATGACCGACGACCGAGGACCGACGACGACGTCGACGACCGCGACGACGTCGGATGACAACGACGACGACGACCACGACGACACCGACGACGACGACGACCGTCGCCGATGCCCACGATCGATGACTGATGACGACGACGACCGACGTCGACGACCGCGAGGACGACGCGTCGAGGACCGCCGACCGACGACCGACAATGACGACCGCGATAACGCCGACGACGTCCGACGACCGACGACACCGACGACACCGACGACGACGACGACGACGACGACGGACGACGACGACGACGTCGACGACGACGATGACGGCGGCGACCGGCGACCGACGGCCGACAACCGACGACGACCGACGACATCGACCGCGACGACGAGGACAACGACGATGACGACGACGACACGACGACGACGATGACGGACGACCGACGATGACGACGACAGACGACGACCGACGGCCACACCGACGACCGACGACGACGACGACGATGAACGCGACGACAACGATGAGGCCGATCGTGACGATGACGACGACGACTGACGACCGACGACCGACCACTGACGACGACCGACGACGCCCACTCCGACGAAGACGACCGACGACCGACAACGATTTCGACGGACGACGACGACGCAACGACGACGACGACGAGGCCGACGACGACGACTGACGACCGACGACCGACGGCGACGACGACACCGACGACCGACGACGACCGACGACGACGGACGACCGACGACACGACGACCGACGACCGCGACGACCGACGACGATGGCGAATACGACGACGAGACCGACGACTAACGACGATGACGACGATGACAACGACGACGACCGCGACGACGAGGACGACGGCGACGACAACGACGGATGACCGACGACCGATGACCGACGATTGCGACGACGACGACGGACGACGACGACGAGGCGGCAATGACGACGACGACACCAACGACACCGACGACCGATGGCGACGACGACCGCGATTGCGACGACGACGCCTGACGACCGACGACCGACGACGACACCGACGACCGACGACCGACGACCGACGACGACGACGGACGACCGACGACACGACGACCGACGACCGTGACGACCGACGACGATGGCGAATACGACGACGAGACCGACGACTGACGACGATGATGACGACGATGACAACGACGGATGACCGACGACCGATGGCCGACGATTACGACGACGACGACGTCGACGGACGACGACGACGAGGCGGCAATGACGACGACGACGACGACGACGACGGACCACGACGACACCGACGACACCGACGACCGACGACGACGACCGCTACGACAACGACCGACGACCGACGATGACGACGACCGACGACACGACGACCGATGACCGCGACGACGACGAAGACGGCGAGACTGACGACGACCGACGACGACCGCGATGAAGATGACGACGACGACGACCGATGTCCAACGACCGACGACGACATCAGAGAACGACGACGACCGCGACGATCGACGACGACCTACGACGACGCACGACCGACGTCACGACGACCGGCGACCGCGACGACGACGAGACGGACGACGCACGACGAAGACGACCGCGACGTCGACGATGACAACGACGACGACAGCGACCGCGACGACGACGACAACGACGACGACTACGACGACGACGACCGCGACGACGACGCAACGACGATGACGCCGAGGACGACGACGATGACGGCGACGACGACGACGACGTCGACGACACCGACGACACCGACGACCGACGACCGACGACGACGCTCGCGACTGCGACGACGACGACCGACGACCGACGACTGCCGTCAGGCCGTGGAATTTTCAGAGTACCCGCCACGGTGGGCAAGCCGTGCTGCCTGGGCCCACCCGCTCCGCTAGGGTGTACAGAGTGGTCAGTGACACCTCCTGGTCTGAGGTGAGCGTTGCCAGTGATGTTCGCGCAGGCGACGCCCCCCCACCATCCCGCTGCCGCGCACTCCCCTGTGCTGGCCGGGGTCGTGGGGGCCCTCCCTCACCCCTAATTCGGTGCAGGTGGCCTGACCTGGGCACGGCGCGTCGGCGCTATGGATGCTCGGTCAGCGCCCGCCGGACAGAAAAACGACGACCGACGAAAGACGACCGACGACGACGACGACGACTGCGACGACCGACCGCGACCGACGACGACGGACGAACGACGACACGACGGCCGACGACCGACGACGACAACACCGACGATGACGACGAGACCGACGACCGACGACGACCACGACGACGACGACGAGGACGACGACGACAAGGACGAGGACGACCGATGACCGACGAACGACTTGCGACGACGATCGCGACGACGACCACGACGGACGGCGACAACGACGACCCACGACCGACGACCGACGACTGACGACGTCGACGACGGCGGCGACGACCGACGATTGATGACGACGGGGCGGTGGCCGCGCCCCGAGGCGCGCAGACTAACCAGGAGAGGCCCCAGGGCGACGGCAGGCAGGAGGCCCCGGGGGGTCGCCCGGAGGGGGGTAGGGGGAGGAGGGGCCACGGGGAGGAGGAGGAGGAGGAAGGCGAGGAGGAGGTGGATGAGAAAGAGGAGGAGGAGGGGGAGGAGGAGGGAGGCGCGGAGGTGAAGGAGGGGGGTGGAGGAGGAGTAGTGGAGGAGGGGGGGGCCAGGAGGAGGAGGAGAGGAGGCGGAAGGCGGAGGGGGAGGTGGAGGAGGGGGGGGGGAGGGGGGAGGAGGAGGAGGAGGAGGAGGAGGGGAGGAGGAGGAGAGGGAGGTGGTCGGAGGTGGAGGGAGGAGGAAGAGGGAGGAGAGGAGGAGGAGGAGGATGAGGAGGAGGGAGGAGCGAGGAGGAGGAGGCGGAGGCGGAGGAGGAGGAGGCGGAGGCGGGTAAGGGGGAAGGAGGAAGGCGAGGAGGAGGAGGAGGAGGAGGAGGAGGAGGAAAGAGGAGGAGGAGGAGGAGGAGGAGGAAGGAGGAGGTGGAGGAGGAGGAGGAGAGCCAGGAGGAGAGGCCAGGAGGAGAGGGAGAGTTCAGGAGGAGAGGGAGGGAGGAGGAGGAGGAGGAGGAGGGGAGGAGGAGGGGTGGTAGGAGAGGAGGAGGAAGGGGGGAGGGGGAGGAGGAGGAGGAGGAGGAGGAGGAGGGGGAGGAAGAGGAGGAGGAGGACGAGGAGAGGAGAAGGAGGAGGAGGAGGGCGAGAAGGGAGGCAGGAGGGGGAGGGGGGAGGGGGGAGGGGGAGGAGGAGGAGGAGGAGGAGGAGGAGGAGCGGAGGAGGATGAGGAGGGAAGGAGGAGGAGGAGGAGAAGCGGAGGAGGAGGAGGAGGAGGAGGAGGAGGAGGAGGAGGAGGAGGAGGGGGGGAGGAGGAGGAGGAGGAAGGGTGGTGGGAGGAGGAGAGGAGAGGTGGAGAGGCAGGAGGAGGAGGAGGAGGAGGAGGAGGAGGAGGAAGGAGGAGGACAAGGAGGAAGGAGGAGGAGGAGGGAGGAGGAGGAGGAGGAGGGCGAGAAGGAGGAAGAAGGAGGAGGGAAGGGGGAGGAGGAGGAGAGGAGGAGGAGGAGGAGCGAGGAGGGGAGGAGGGAGGAGGGAGGAGGAGGAGGAGGAGGGGCAGAGGTAGGCGGAGGAGGGGAAGGAAGAAGAGGGAGGATAATGAGCAGGACGAGGACCCAGGGGACTGCGCGTTCCCCCCGGATTGCTCTTCGGAGCGTCCCGGGGTCAGGGGTCTGCTCTCGCAGGCCCGCGAACAGGAAACACAAGTTTTTCTTCTGCCGGGGCGTTGGAGGTCTGGCTGTCGTCGCCGCTGCCGCTGCTGCTCCTCCTCGTCCTCGGAGGAGGCGGGAGGTGGAGGGATGCGCCCAGGTGCCCCCGCGCCTGCTCGAGGAGGAGATGGGCGGTAAAAAGGAGCAGGAGGAGGAGCATGAGGAGGAGGAAGAGGAGTAGGAGGAGGAGGACGAGGAGGAGGAGGAGGAGGAGGACGAGGAGGAGGTGTCTGATGGGGGCTGTGGCACGTGCTCGCGCTGCCCTGGATGAGAAAGGTGGAAGCCCGCAGCGTTCCTAGCCCGACCCATGCTGGCCCCTGCATGCCCCTGCGCTCATCCTCCTCCTGAGCCTCCCTCTCTCCCTGCCGAGCCTCATCGACGGAAGGAGTTCGTTGTGGAGTGGAGACGGCGAATTATTCAGGCTGGGGCTCATTCACGCAGTTCCTATCATCGCAGAGCCGAGCAGACGTCGTGCTGTGCCAGGAGGGCGGCCGAGCATTTTTCAAGTTAAAGAAGCAGGGTCCAGGGTGGCGTCAGTGTGGTGGCAGGTCAGTGTCAGGGCCGCTGAAGTTACTCAGGACGGTGGCCTTTCGGGGGGCGTCGGTGTCGGATGTCGTCGTTCGACCCGTCTTGGCCACCCTCCTGGAGCCAGGTTCCGAAGGTTTCCCAGCCATCAACGCGTGCATGCATGCTGGAAAACGCTTTCGTTCCAGGTGGGTGTTGTAGCTGGTTTGTTGTATCTTCCATCGGGGGGCGACGCTCTTGGTGCGGAGGGTTCACACCTCCTGGCCAGGCTGGGGGAAACGTTACACGGATGGAAGTTGCCGTCTGTCATTGGAGGGATGTGGAACTGCACTCCGCAGGCTCTGCGTGAGAGTGGATAGGACACGAGATTGTGTGCGACTTCTGTGCACCGAAAATTCCTACATGCCGACGTGGCAAAGTACGGAAGGTTCTAGATCATTTCCTGGTTTCACCCAGCTTCGTTGCATCGGTCAAGACGGTTCGGCGCAGTGCGGAGTCGACGCTCAAGCCGCACTGGGCAGTCCAGCTCGTGTTCCTTTATAAGGTTGCGCTGCCCGAAGTACCCGTTCTTGTGCGACTCAGGAGTTTTCATCGAGATCGTTGCGAAGTTCCCCATGGACCCCCGGGGCCGCATTGATTGGGGATCTCTTGCCGAACGCTTGGAGGTAGCCTCAGATCCATGTGTTTTGTAGCACTTCTGCCCGGAGCTCCTGGGGCTCTTCAAGGATGAGATGTGTAGGGTGTTTTGTTCGGACGACGGCTATGGGCACAAGTATCGGGGCAGGGCCATCGGGCCCGAGATATAGAAGCTGGTTGGGATCCAGACCACTGGAGGGCCATATCCCGTGGGGCGCTCTCTGGCTAAAGGTTGGCGTAGGGTGCGCATCTGATTCCTGGATGTTCGCCACATCCGTCTTAAGATGCTTCCTGGCGTGGACATGACACCCAAACCACCATCAATCAGGTTCTCCGAGGCCCTCCCGCTTTGAAGGACGATTTTCTTTTCCCAACCATCCTGTGGTGTTGGGTCCTCGTTTTGAAGATACGGTCCCCGCGTTCCTCTCCTCTTCTCCTCCTCTTCCCCCTCCTCCCTCCTCCCTCTTCCATGCGTTTCACCCACCCAGCACAGCGTTTCGTGGCCCCATAGGGGGCTCCACCGAAGGTCCCAGTGGCACCGCCCGCAAGCGTCCGCCACCACCCAGCACAGCCCTTGTCCCTTGCATTTCACCCACCCAGTACAGCGTTTCGTGGCCCAATACGGGGGCTCCACCGAAGGTCCTGGTGGCACCGCCCGCATGCGTCCGCCACCACCCAGCACAAACATTGCGCCCTGCGTTTCACCCATCCAGTACCGCGGTCCGTGGCCCCATAAAGGGGGCTCCACCGAAGGTCCCAGTGACACCGCCCGCATGCGTCCGCCACCACCCAGCACAGCCTTTGCTCCCTGCGTTTCACCCACCCAGTACAGCGCTTCGTGGCCCCATAAGGGGGCTCCACCGAAAGTCCCAGTGGCACCGCCCGCATGCGTCCGCCGCCACCCAGCACAGCCCTTGCTCCATGCGTTTCACCCACCCAGTACAGCGCTTCGTGGCTTCATAGCGAGCTCCACCGAAGGTCCCAGTGGCACCGCCCGCATGCGTCCGCCACCACCCAGCACAAACATTGCGCCCTGCGTTTCACCCACCCAATACAGCGCTTCGTGGCCCCATAAAGGGGGCTCCACCGAAGGTCCCAGTGGCACCGCCCGCATGCGTCCGCCACCACCCAGCACAGCCCTTGTGCGTTTCACCCACCAGTACAGCGCTTCGTGGCCCCATAGGGAGCTCCACCGAAGGTCCCAGTGGCACCGCCCGCATGCGTCCGCCACCGTCCAGCACAATTGCGGTAATTACAACTGCATATGGTTGGGTCCTTCGCAGGCTAATCTAATATATTATATATATTGTGTGTAATATCTATATATATATATTATATATATGATATATATATATATATATAATATATATATATATGGGCGCTGGCCTATTCCCCCCCTGCTGGAATCGATGGTTGTTGTTTTCCCATTAAACTGACGACGTACCACGCGACCCATGAGCGACCACGACGTCGCGCGCGGGCTCCCGAGCAAACCTTCGATGGCGACCTGCAAAAAACAACAGAGGTAGTGTACACTGCGAGCAGCAGATGGAACTGAGCAGACATGAAAAAAAACGCGTGACCCATGAGCGACCACGATGTCGCGAGCCCCTGAGCCAGGGCACCGCGCAGGAGCCAGCCTGAGCAATGCTCTCCCCTCCAGACCCAGGGGGAAGGGGGATGCGGGAGTGGTCAGGGCACCTCCTGCTTGCAAGGCGCAAGCCGTCTCGCTCACTCACACCGCCCTCCAATTACATAACCTCAGGACGTCTTTAGTTTCGGGTCCCACCCACCCTGCTTCTCTCGGCGGGAAATAAGCTCCGCCCCGTCCTCCTCCTTCTGATCCTCCTCGAGTACTACTACCGCTACTAAGACTGTTATTGCTACTGCTATTGCTACTGCCAGCGCCCCTGTTATTATTACTGCGACGACTACTGCGAGTACTTTTACCACAACCACTACGTCTACTATTATTATTACTACTACTACTACTACTACTACTACTACTACTACTACTACTACTACTGCTACTACTACTACTACTACTACTACGAGTACTACTACTACTACTACTACTACTGCTACTACTACTACTACTACTACTACTGCTACTACTACTACTACTATTACTGCTACTACTACTACTACTGCTACTGCTACTACTACTACTACTACTACTACCACGGCTACTATTATTACCACTGCTACGATTGCTACGACTACGTCTGCGACTACTACTACTACTACTACTACCACTACTATTACTACTACGACGACGACTACTACGACTACTACTACTACTACTACTACTACTACTACTACTACTATTACTACTAGTACTACTAGTACTACTACTACTGCTTCTACTACTACTACTACTACTACTACTACTACTACTGCTACTGCTACGTGTACTACTACAGTTTCTTGTTACTACTACTACTAATACGACTACTACTACTACCAGTATTACGACTACTACTACTACTACTACTACTACTCCTTGCTTTTGCTATTCTTACTAGTACTACTACTGCTACAGCTACTACGACGACTAGTTCTACTGCTGCTGCTGCTGCTGCTACTA